AAAAGAAAAACAAACCTGTTGAATATTTAAAAGAGGAAGAGCAATAAATACTCTGCTCTGTTATCACAACGATCGCAAGCCCTTAATAATTGATCCCTGTAACTGTGAGACGGGCTGTGGCGAGCGCTCCCTTCCCGCTGTGCCTTGCGTGCCGTGCCACAGAGTGCTTGCCCCGTGGCTCAGCCATGCCGGGCTGGCACAGTGCTRGGTGCTCCCCGAGCAGGGGCTGCGGATGGGGCTTGGGACAATTGTAGACTGGGGTGCAGGGGACAGCAGGAGCACAGGCACGGGGTCAGTCCCTGATTYCCATTTCTCGGTAATTGGGAAGGGGTTAAGCCACTTGGGCAGCACCAGTTAAACTGCTTTGCCAGATGGCTGAGACCCCGTGCTGGGCTACCGGCTGCCGGGGGCCGGTGCGAAGGTGGGCTGGGAGCGCCAGCATCCCGCAGCGGCACCAGGGATTGGATTTCGCAGCTGTAACGGAGCCTCCGGGCAGGCGCGGGGCTGGGAGCAGGTCCAGCGCTAAATAATTCAGGGGGAAGGCGGTGACAGCAGCGGAGCAACCTCGGCAAGCAGCGTGAAAGGCAATGCGAGTGCCGTGCCACACCTGGGCTGACACAGTGGTCATTGAGCAGGAGCAGTGACTGGTTTGGGGCTGGGCTCGGGCTGCCAGCCCGAGAGGTTAATCCCAGAGGTGCTCAGGGCTAAACTGGCACATCTGGGACGGATAAAGAACTGGGGCTGGGATAACTCTGGCCYGTGGGTGCCATGGGATGCAGGGATCCTGCTACGAGCTCTGTGGTCCTGCCTGGAGGAAAGGATGCAGGGTCTGGGGTTGTGGTACCCAGGGACAGAGGGATGCCGAGTCCTGGTTCATGTCCCGCTGCCTCAGGACTCCATGGATGTGGGAGAGCTGAGCAACCCCTCTCATCCGCAACCCTAGAGCCTTCTAGGGACAATGTGGAGCAACAGCGCATCCCCCCGGCTCCGCTTTGGCCGGGTCTTTGCGTTATTTCTAGTGGCCTCTGCCCACCACAGGAAATCGGATTAGGGGCCACCTAATCGCCTGCTGCAGCCTCGTGGCGAGACCCGGCATCGCGGGCCCTGTAGCCTGCCATGCCACGTAACCCGGGGACTAGCCCGGCCCCAGGTACCGCTCGGAAGGCAAAACGGGGATGCTGCCGCGACGGAGCCGTCTGAGAGAGGCTGCGATGTCCAGCAATGCCCACGGACCTGGGCAAGCGGAAAGGTCGTCTCCGGCGCGGGGAGCAGCCTCTCCTCGGCGGTCAGCCTAATCCATTTACATAACAGCGGGCGGACAAAGGCTGCTGTGTTATCGCCCCGCGCCAGGAGCCGACTCAGCGGCCAGTGACAATAATTCTGCCAGCGCTCGCCCCTCTCCTCCTCGCCCTTTCTTTCTGGGCCATAAAGAAAGCGCAGCTGGCTGCCCAGACTGATAACGTGGCCGCGTTGCCCTTGGAGCTAGGGGATGAGGGTGCCTGCAGCATTCGTCCCCAGTGCTGGCACCTTGCCCAGTGACTGGGGAGGGAGGGTTGGGGCCAGAGCAGGCACCCTGTTCTCCCACTAGCCCCTCTCCTGCTGGTGGGTGCCAAGCTTCCGGCAGACCCTGTCTCGCTGCCAGCAGTGGGGGCCGTTACCTGGGGCAGTGTCCCAAGAGGAGTCGCAGGGAAGGGAAATCCCCTTTGACCGCGGCGTAGTGGACGGGCAGTGCTCCCGTGTTGGTGGCCGCCGTGGGGTCGCTGCCTCCAAAACGGAGGAGCCAGTCGATCACCTCATGGTGACCGAAGCGGGCTGCCAGGTGTAGGATGGTGGCACCAGAGTTGTCTGTGTCCTGCAGGAGGAAGTGGGACGGCTGTCAGTACCAGGGACCGAGCCCTTCCGGCAAGGGGCTGGGGACCACAGGCAGCCGTGGGGCATCCCCCAGCCYGGAGCTGGTTTCGGGCCAGGGTGGAGTTCCTGTCCTACGGAGCAGGGATGGAGCAGGGACACAGGAGGGACCATGGGACGAGCGTGTCTGCCCTCCGACAGGGCCTGCGTCCGGACACAGTGAGTGCAGCACAATACCCTCCTTGTTCTGCCGGCGGTGGAGCCCCTGACCGCGGAGACTCGCCGCCGAGCCCCGCTGTGTCACCGGCCCGTCCGCCCTCCACGCTCGGTGGGGCGCGAGTAGGGCTGGCCTCTGTCCAGGAGGTCGCCGATGCGTGCTGACCCCTTCCTTCCCGATTAATTCCCTCTCACAACCCCGCCGCCGCCTCCTCTTTCCTTCGGCCGTCACATGTCTTTAACTCTCGGCCGGCCCCGGGGCAAGCCGCTTACCGCCCCGGTCCCGTCGTTGTGTAACCCGGGAGGGGGCGGCAGCCCAATGGAATATGTGCTGCCCTCGCGGCTGAACCCCGCCGGGATGCCGGGGACTCTCCATGTCCGTCGGATGCTATGCTATGCRCTGCGGAGCCCTGCCCGTGCCGGCTGGGACGGATCCCGGCTCGCCGTCGGCAGAGTTGGGAGCACCACGCGTGACCGTCTCCCCGCGGCCACAGCCACCCACAGGGGACCGCGGAACGCCTCCCCGGCCGCCCGCGCTACCGAGGGCCCCTCCGCCCCTCCGCCGCCCCCCGCGATCCCGCTCGCACCTGCACGCCGCAGCCCCCCTGAGTGAGCAGCCACTGGAGACAGGCGAGGTTGCCGGTGGCGGCGGCGTCGTGAGCCGGCGTTGCCCCGTTTCGCGCCCGCGCGTCTCCGCGGAGCGCGGTCTCGGCCGCCAGGTACCGGAGGCAGGCGAGGCGGCCGGCGCGGGCGGCGTGGTGCGCGGGGGACGCGCCCAGGGCGTCCCGCAGCCCCGGTCGCAGTAGCCCGGCCGCCCGCAGCCCCCGCAGCGCCTCCACGTCGCCCTGTCGCGCCGCCAGCAGCACCCGCTCC